CCCCCCCATCCTGGAGCCCCCACTCACAAGCACCGCCTGGCCGCCCTGGCAAACCGGAAGTCGACATCTATCTTTAATTTCTTAGTCTCAGCATAATTGATTGTATAATTACCTGATTCAAAATATCAAATTTCAGGCCACTTCAGCTCACGATTACCGAGGATCTTTATATTCGGTGTTCCATTTCATTTTTTACAAATTCCAATATTACTTAATTCACAATTTTAGTATTTTATGTTCTGAATAATAATGGATGTTTTCAGGTGTTCTATCTCATTTGAAGACACAGCTCTTCCCAATTTCATCCTGAATGTCTTCAACCTGAGTGACTCATCTTGCAGCCTTTATAGCAAACATTGTGTTATGCTATTGTCCATAATGTTTTCACTGGCTTTTCTTTTTTATTTTTCTAAAGAAGATTTCCAGGTCTTTTTACCTAGTATGACTTAATATGGAAACTCCCCTGAAATCCGTACACCATGGGTGACCTTGAATGTATTTGAATTATTTGTTGTATAGTTTGTAAAATCATAGAAATATGCAAGCCATAACGTTATGACAAAGAGACAGACAAGAAGTGTTGTTGTTGTTGTTGTTAGCTGCCATTGAGTAGGTACTGATACAGAGCGACCATATGCACAGCAAAATAAAACACTGCCCTATCCTGGGCCAACCTCACTATTGTTGCCATGCTTGAGTCCATTGATGCTGCCACTTGGCCAATCCATCTAGTTGGTGGTCTTCCTCTTTTTATCTGACCCTCCACCTTCCTTACCAAACATGATATCCTTCTCCAGCAACTACTCTCTCCTGACAATATGTCCAAATTGTGAGAGACGAAGTTTGGCTGCACTTCTTCCAAAATGGATCTATTGGTTCTTTTGTCTGCCCATGACACTTTCAATATTCTCCTCCAATACCATAACTCAAAGACATCAATTCTTCTACGGTCTTCCTTATTCACTGTTAGGCTTTCACATGCATACGAGGTAATTGAAAATACCATGGCTTGTATCAGGTGCACCTTAGTCCTCTAGCTGAGATCTTTGCTCTTCAACACTTTTAAAACGTCTTGTGCATCAGATTTGCCTAATGCAATACATCGTTTGACCTCTTGACCGCTGCTTCCACAAGTGTTGATAGTTGATACAAGAAGAATGAAGTCCTTGACAACTTCAATCTTTTCTCCATTGACAAGAATGTTGTTTATTTGTCCAGTGGTGAGGATTTTTGTTTTCTTTGCATTTAGATGTAATCCATACTGAAGGCTGTGCTCTTTCATCTTCATCAGTAAATGTTTTAAGTCCTCTTCACTTTCAGTAAGCAAGTTGTATCATCTGCATATAGTAGGTTGTTAATGAGTCTTCCTCCAATCCTGATGCCACGTTTTTCTTCATAGAACCCAGCTTCTTGGATTATTTGCTCAGCATACAGTTTGAATAAATATGGTGAAAGAATACAACCTTGTCACATACTTTTCTTATTTTTAAAGCATTCAGTGTTCCCATGTTCTGTTCGAACAACTGCCTCTTGGTCCAGACACAGATTCCTCATGTGCACAATTAAGTGTTCTGGAATACTCATACTTTGCAATGTTGTCCATAACTTGTCATGATCCACACAATCAGAAGCCTTTGCATAGTCAATAAAGCACAGGTGGACATATTTCTGCTATTCTCTGCTTTCAGCCAAGATCCATCAGACATCAGCAATCATTCCATGGCCTCTTCTGAATCTGGCTTGAACCTCTGGAAGTTCTCTGTCAATGTATGATTGTAGCTGTTTCTGTATTACCATTAGGAAAACTTTACTCACATGAGATGTTAAAGAGATTGTCCAATGATTTCCACATTCCTTTGGGTCACCTCTCTTTGAAATGGGCACAAATATGGATCACTTCCAATCAGTCAGCCAGATAGTTGTCTTCCAAATTTCTTGGCAGAGATGAGTGAGTGTCTCCTGTGCCACCTCACTTTCTTGCAAGATTTCAATTTGTATCCCATCAGTTTCTGGTGTCTTGTTCTTTGCCAATTCCTTCAGTGCACCTTGGACTTCCTCTGTAAGTATCATTGGTTCTAACATTAACCATGTCCTTATGGTACAGTGACTCTGTTTATTCCTTCCATCTTCTCTTGATGCTTTTGGCATCATTCAATAATTTGCCCAGAGAATATTTCAATAATGAAAGTTGAGACTTGATTTTTTTCTTTAGTTCCTTCAGCTTGAGAAATGCTGAGCGTGTTCTTCCTTTTTGGTTGCCTGATTCTAGATCTTTGCATATTTTTTTTTTTTGTGTGTGTGTAATATTTGACATTATCTCTCAAGCTGATCTTTGAAAATTTCTGTTCAGCTCTTGGACCTCCTCATTTCTTCCATTTGCGTTAGCATCTCTACTCTGGAGAGCAAGTTTCAGTGCCTCTTCTGACATCCATTTTGACCTTTTCCTTCTTTCTTTCTTTCTTTTCTTTTTTTTTTTTGGCAAGTAAAATTTTATTTTTGTTCTTTTTTTGCAGGTAAAATCTTGTTGCAAATAATTCAGAATCAATTACGGCAGTACAATGACAGGGCGCTGCTAGAAATTCAAGCCAAATTCAGATGAGATGTGGAGTGAGGGATATCATTACTGATGTAAGATGGATCTTGGCAGGAAAGCTTCTCCTGTAGGCCTCATACTGGGAGCTTTGTGCCATCAGCATCTCCCGAATGTTGTCCTCGGCTTCCTTGATGCTCTGCTCAAGGTAGGCTTTCTTCTGCTCCAGTTCTTTTATTTTTTCGTCCATTATTTTCAGTTTCTCTTGCAGCTGGTTGTGAATGACTGCCTTGGACTGATGAACGAACATTCTTCGTACACCCTCATACATGTTAGTGTCATCTTCCAAAGCCATAATTTGGATATCTGTAAGATACACACAGCTTTTTGTTATGTTGAGCTGTTCAATCTGTTTGCCTATAAGCTTCACCTTCTGTTGAGTCTCAATCACTGTTGCGGACCGTGTGAGACTGGTCAGAGGTTCAAGGCCCTATAGGCCCGAGTATAACAAATGAAGCCACTTGGCAGTTAATAGCAGATTGTTTTTCATCAAATTGTTTAGTCATATTTTTTTTTAATTCCAAACATGAGCCCTGGATGTCCACAGAGAAATGCAATATTCCCCTAATTTTCTAAGGTCAAGATTTTCCCCCTAGAACCAAGGCAGTAAAACTTCCTCAGAGGACGAACAAGGACAGGTTTACTGGGATTAAGCAGGGAGGCTCTGGAGAGGAACTGCCTGGGGTATATTCACT